TTCGATGGAAGCCTATCCCCGAGTAAGAAGCGCACTCCATTTTTAGTGACTCTAAAACCACAATATTTTTAAAAATGAAAAGACCCATTTTGACTTTAGACAGGAAATGAACATGAGTTTGACTAATTGAACCTCTCTGAGTCTAATTTCACGGGACCAGCAAAAAATTCGACTTGAATTGCTTCTTAAAAGAGTTGACCTTTTTCCTGTCAACACATATTTATAAAAAATTGAAACTCTGCATATTTATGGATTATATTCTTTCCGATTTTCGTGGACGTCCAAGAAAAATAAATCCCATTCATGGCCGAAGGGATAAATCCGAAGAATTTTTTCAACCTTTCCACTCAATCGTTGGCTTCAGGCATGCTCAAAAATGTAATTGCCGGGGACAAAAACAATTCCGTCAACCTATTTCGCAAAAAGAATCGTCTCCGAATTCCTCAAGCAGGGAAACGTTCCAGGAATTCGGGTAATGAATTAAATGGAAAGAATAGTATTCCTAATTGTATTGAAACTTCTTTTCTTTTTTTGTTGATGCTCATTCTTCCGTTCAACGGACAAAAACATAAAAGAAAACAACAACAAAAATAACCAAGGTCTTTTTCGTACATCAGCAGTTAAATGGGGCATGAAAACTCAACGTCCACGGATCAAACCCAGTAGGAAGAGAAAGCTTTCTGTTCGGAATGACAAGCGCGTTGATTGATATTGCAAGATCACTTTGGAATGTTATACACGTGGATGACAATGCGAGGAAAGGAAAACGTTTATTTTTAGTTAGCTGCGCAGAAGGTGTATATGGCAATACTATATACAGTACAATGTTTAGTCGTGTTCCTGACAATGAATTTCGCATCATGAACATTATCAATGTTACGATCAGACTCGATTGGACTCGCCGAAATATCGGATTTTCACGAGGTGTCGTACGAGAATTGAGAGCCCCTAAAAGTTTTCACAAGATGAATACATAGTTGTAGCTTCTTTTTTTATTGTTGCCACATTGAATCTGAATCAAAAGCACGAAAAAGCTTTACATCCTTGATGCTTGACTTCGCCAATCCAGGTACGGATTTTCATAGAAATTTTTTTAGGATTTGATGAACCATCAAGATTGGTTCGTAATATGAACCACGTACAAAGTTCGTAATATGAACAAGGGTGAACATTCACCCTTGTTCGTAGTACAAAATTTGCCAGTAGCCCAGGTTAGAGGTCACGTCTGTGACCTCTAACCTGGGCTACTGGGCTTTCAAGCTTACATTTAATCTTTGAAAGGGAGAACAACACAAGGCCAGGGGAAAAAGGGGAGCCTTGAAGATTTCTTTTTTTTTTTTTCATTTCCATGTGAAATTTTTCTGCAGAAAATTTTAAAAATGCCAGGATTTTTCATGACTTTGCCCTACACACACTGTCATGGTTTTTTTAATGCCACTCTTGAGTGCACCCAAAATCTGCAAAAAACCCCGACTTCGCCCGCAGGAGGGTTAAAAATGTATATACCCGTCTAAGCTGCCGCGCAGCCCCCCCCCTTTTTTTCCCTCTCCAAATGTTGAGAAAAAGATAAGTGCGCGTATTGCTGTACTCGAGTGTAAATACAGTACAGTATTTCGGTGCGGTATATAAAAACTCCAAAAGACGCGAAAGAAAATAAAGAAATGGACTGACCATGACGTAAATGTTGTAGGACCTGTCGTCCGGATTCCACGAGTGCTCTCGTTGCTCCTCGCGCGGCACCGGCGGCATGGACAAGAGGATGTCGAGTCTGGCCGGACGCGGGATATCCGGCAACTGGCGCACGTCCGTGATGACCTTGGGGCTGCCATTACTGCGCCCGTGGCGATAGTCCCCGTGGCTGGTGCGAGAATTCGAGTTCACGTCACCCTTGGACGAACCCCTGGAACATCCCTTTGCTGAAAAAAAGAAAAAGATAACAGAATATGAAAAGGAACCAGGAGATGAAAACTGAAAGTTAAATCAGTAGTGGTCCTCAACCCATTCTCATGTACAGCTGAACCTTGATAACTTGAACTTTTCAAAGTCAAAGTTATCCCCTAAGTCGACTTTTTTCAGGTCCCCATGTGAATCCCATTAGAAACAATAGATTAAAAACCTCCCTAAGTCAAAAGCGTTTCCCCCTCAAACCTCCATAAATCGATTTTTCTGTGGCCAGTTGACCATTATTTTCTTGAAAAAAGGAAGAAAAAAAGCAATAAAAACAGAAATTCATGTGTTTTAAGGGAAGTGAAAGACTTAATTGGGCAAATAAACCCCTGCCTCCAAGTTCAGCAGCCTTTCAACTCATTTAAGAAGCCATTTAAGCCCCAGAATATCACCATTTACGACATTTCTTCTAAGTTTTCCAGAAAGAAGTGCTTAGAAATCCCCTAACTTTGGGATATTTCTGGGGGAATTTGGAAAGCAGGAACTAAACATGTTTGCTGAAATTTCAGGAATGACACACAGTATTTTGGTTGTGGACAATTTTCTTCAATTCTTCCTACAAACAAAAAAGGCAAAACGCTGGAAACTGCTGTATAAATGAGTTCGCAGGATCCAGAGCCTCAATTCAACATTTTATGCGTCCAATTAAAGTCGCTCACTTCCTTTCAAACAATTTTACCATTTAAATATTTCGCACGTCATTGTCTTTGAAAATGTATAGAGTTATAGATGAGAGGCTCGGAGCTGAAAGATTTTGAAACTGGACAAGGAGTAGGTGACAATGCGGTTTTTTGATTTCGGGAGGTTTGAGTTATTAAAGAGGTCCAAGTGTCCAACAATAAGGATGTACGGTCAAGTATCTATAAAAATATTTGCGCAACAATCAGCTTAACACACACTTACGCAACTGAGGTGAGAGGAAAAATTAATCCCTTCTGTCAGCTGGGTTCACGATTATTTTTAATTTGAACACCTGGGTCAGGTGCGCTTTTTCAATCAACGTCGAGCGAAATTAGCATTTCCCCACGTCACCAAAGGTTCATCGAAAAGTCGAGTAATATTATAGAGTAATTAACGTGTTTATTTTTGTCGTTCTTCGGACTGATTGAGTAAGGATGGAAGGCTTTTAGCATTTTTGAAATCGATTTAGAATTTTAAAATGGTTACAGACGAAATTCCTTCATTCATTATTTTCCCTCCGTAAAGCTGAGCGAAGTATACGAGGGGTTACACGGTTCCGCGCGGATCAGCTTGCTGATTGTTGCCGTTCACCTGGGGAAGCTTCAAAATTTAACTGAACATCTCAAGGCCTGTAACATTTAAAAACATGGATCAACAAGGCTGCAAAATGTGCACAAATGGGCGGTGATTACATTGAGAAGATGTCTGCCTAGCCTCTTAGAACTCGTGATCACGAGGAAAATATTTTTTTAAATCCCTGGTATTCAGATCATTTCAAATCCGCGCGGAAACGTGTAACCCCTCGTGTACGTATAGTATCATAAAACACTTAAAAATTAAAAGATTAAACGAGTTTGCAGATGTGGATGCTTGCATAAGGCGTAAAATATTCTGCATAACTACGAAATGGATTAAATCAATTTTGTTCCAGTTCATTCACGTCAGCATTCGTATACTGTATATACGTGCACTATCAGCAACCAAGATGCGTCACCGCATGACGTTCTATGCCCAGCAGAATGATTCTGCACAGCAATAGCACGCAAAATTTACAAGGACAAAGCAAATCACCAAAGAAAATCAGCGAAACGTCTGACAATGCATTCTGAATGGTCCGATGCTCAAAAATAATATTAGTTCAAAATCAGCTTTAAAAAAATAGCGTTCGTTAAAACAGGTAAAGGCATTGATTGACTAATTTCTCTACTCATTGTCCGTGGTTTGAGATAAAATAAGATAAACACTTGATTGATCGTCTTCGCTTGTCAGTGAAACAAAATAAATTGCAAGTTTTTTTTGACTCGAAGTTCAGTTGAGCAAGCAACCAAACATGAAAACGCTGCTGCTGCGAATTAAACTGTGCTGTTCTCCAAATGACAGCGTAGATTTCAGAGAGAAAAAATTTGAAAGTTTTTATTATCTTAAGGTGAATGTTTCAGAAGCCCTTTAATGAAGCTTTTTTGACGTTTATCGCGGTAACTATCGGGCATTCCGTGTATTTTCATGATTCTTATACTCTTTGATCTCCCCAAGTTCTCATCCACTTTTCTCGTGCAAATGAACTCACATGCAAAATGTGTCCACAGAAAACGATCTAAAGGTACATACGTAGTTTCATCACATAAGTAAAATAAGCAGTTGATTTATTAAATAAAGATTTACTATTTTCGACACCAATTGATTTAGAAGGCATAAGTATTTGAACCACATCGCTTTTTAAACATTGCCCTCGAAATGCTTCAATAATTTTAAATCTCTTTACATATTTCAAGATCATTTCCCCTAAACTTTAATGGACTTTTTAGATAAAGCGTAAATGCTTCTTAAATGCGTATTGGAAATGCTGGTCAGATTAATTTTTTCTGGGATAATGTAACCGAATTTTAAATTTCCCGCAGTCCACTTTGACCGGATCAATATTTCGTTTCTCGGCACTCAGAACCAGTGAATTCAAAATATTTTACGGCAAAAAAGATGGTAAAAGGTTGGTTTACAATTCCAATATCTGCTGTAGCCGAAGAACAAATCCAGCTCGGCCAGTTGTTCGCCAAAAACTTTGCGGAACGGACTGAACATCATCATCTTCCAAGCACCGAATGTTTTCACAACAACAAAAAACCCGATTTATTTGTGTCTCGACTTCAAACTCCAAAGTCAATGTCTGCAAATAAAAATTAAAACCAGATGCAAAAGCTATACCAAACAATTTTAGTTTTCAACGACGGTTTCGAGATGCAAACATCGCGATTTTTTGTTTCTGCACGAATTTCCGAAAAAAATGCAATACGTACGCCGCTGAGAATTTCCAGATTCAATATGGTCAAGAACAACTGTTTGCATTTTTTGCAAACGGATTCTTTATAAAGGGAATCTTTAATTTAAGCCGGGGAAAAATTGCACGATTGAGGAGACTTTCAGAATAAAACTGACCATAAGACGACTGAACGAAACTTTCGATAAGAAAACTGAACAAAGGAAGAAATTCCACTGAATCATTTCCCCAAGACTGGAAACAGAAATTCGAATAACCGAATAGCTTCGTTCAATCGACTGAACATGCGTTACGAACATTGGTCTATGATGAAGAAGGCATGGAACAAAAGCTTTTTTTTTTGGCAAGCAACAAAAAATTGCACAGTCATTCAGCGCAGTTGCCGTTTCTCGAACAAGGAAGAGGAGATATTCAGTGCATTCTTTTTTTTTCAGGGTTGCTGCTGAAATCTCAGGCATTTTATCTTCAGTTCACACATGAAATGATAATTTGCTCGTTTCAGAAAAGGTATTGGCGCAACGTTTATGCGAGAGTACTGTACCATATACTTAGCCGACAGCTGATCAAGAAAACGAATGTTGATGCTGAAGTGACTAAAAGGCTTACTTCACGAATTATTTCATTGAATATTACAAGATTCAACAATAAGACGATTCAGTCTGTCAAAAATTATTCGTGAATTGCGTTATTATGGAATATATTTATTTCCGTTGGTCCAGCAATCGTATGCAGCTACACCGGCAAACTCGACACACCCTCACTGACAGCTTTGAAAAAAAAAAAAGTTGAAACCTGGAATGAGTCGCCACAAATGGTGCAACTCACATGGCTTACAACGCATTTGCAATTTTACTGACCAGCAACAAAGTTCGGCGTAAATAAAACGAAAAATAAATGGACTAACGTATTGCGAAGCAGCAATATTCATACAGTACTGCAATTCAAAAAAGAACTTGATTCAGCTCGAAGTTCCCTTTGTAAGGGTACATATACTCGTATGCGGACGTTGCAGTACATGGTTTTTCAACATCCATAACTTCATGTATGGCACCATCAGGTACTTGAATAAAGGTTTTTCATGAGAAATTTTCCGTAAAAAAGTTCCAAAAAATGTGACAAAAATAATTGAGAAGAAAAGAAAAATATGAATTCAGATGTACTGCCTGCGAAAATCAACATCCATACGATTACAGTACAGTACAGTAATTCTTTTGAGAAATAAGCACCACATGCGGAGTCATATTTCAGGAGTGACATCTACTTGGAAGATGGCAAGCGTAGCAGAAAATGGAGTCGGTGGAAATTTAGGAGCCCGTGAAATATTTGGAACAAAAATTACGTTTACAAACGTGTAATGTTTTCTCCTTTTTGCCCATCACAGGAGCAACTTAATTTATTTTATTTAAACTGCAATGAGATTAATAGCAAAACCCCAATTTAAAAAAAAGACAGACAAATGCTACATCGAAACTGGTGGTTTTACACAGTATATTTTTTGCGTATAACCGAAGAAAGAAATTCCACTTCGCTAATGAACGTCTAAAAAACATGAAGGATTTTTGCAGGTTTTTCTTTATTACCCCATCGAAGCTCTTTTGATTGTGGTTAGATGTCGCTAACAGTAAGTCTGTTAGTACAGCACAGTATTTTCATTTGTTATCGGAGGTTCTTTCCGGTTCTACATTCCTCCAGCTCCTCCAGCAAACATTAATCAGGGAAAGCAATCGACATTATTGGCAAAGCTAAAATAAGAATAATTTTACGGAACCATTTTCTGAATGGGGATACAGTGCCATTCGCGATAAAATCAATTCATTCGTTTGAATGGCGTTATGGGGCCATTCACGGAAATAAATACAGGTTAGCTCTCTAGGCAGTCTAGGGTTATACAGTACAATGAAATTCCAAGGGACCAGAAATAAATCAGTTCTAAAGAGAATTTTGTCGCAGAGAACCCCTAAAACCAGGGCCGGATTACAGCACAATTTGGCCTGATGCTGAAAAACTTTGCATTATTCCTAGAACAAATGAAAACATAATTTTCGATGTAGCTGAGAATTCAACTCTAGAACTTCACATTTCAAGGGTGCTGTATGAACAAGGGAATAACTTCTAGGAAAAATCAATTCTGCGAGAGAAGGAAAAGTAAAACCCCAGTGGTTCACATTTATTTTCCAATTTGAAATTCGGCAGCTTGGAGACTTTTCGTTTACAATTCCTCAGGGGCTCTATTTGCCTGCATGCTGCAGCATCATTAGCACCGACCTCAATTCGGCCCTGCCTATAAAACATGGGTAAAGAACCCTTTGGAACAAAATAAAAATCGTTCCCTCAGAGAAAAATCTTCGTAGTGAGACCCCGAGATGCGGACGTAATTGGTGCATCAAAAGTGTCCCCAATTTAGGGTTGGAAATATCTGTTTCTTGTAATTTGGCCTGAAATGTATTTTCAATTTCATCACAAAATGTCCCTATGTCGAGTTAGTGTCCTCATGTCGGGCCTTATTTATTGATTTTTCTGGGGAAATAAGTGTCATTATGTCGAATTGTCCGCAGGTTGAGGCGTCAGCATGTGGGGGTCTCACTGTACATCTATATCCCAGGAATAGTCCCTCAAATACTGCACAGAAAAAGTTTGGCATGAAGCAGCAGCTCAAGCTTCAAATAAGTTTCATCGCACGTTCAATTGATCTGGACACAGTCCTGTACCATCCCTGATTTTTCTCTTTCTCTCTATATATATGCTATACTTCAAAAATAGTTCTTGAATAAAAGCCATGAACAAAAGGGGATGGATGGATGGATGAATGAATGAATGGATAGATGGCACGGAAACTTAGCAAGACAAACGGAAGAGTAATACAAGAACACTGACACAAGTGTGTCACAGAAGTCACGAACTTCGTGTCAGCTTTCCCGAATGTATGCACGGCAGTTCCCAACTATAAAGTGACCCCGGGTGTACCATGTGCTCTTTTTATGTTTGTTTCGTTTTATTTATTTTTTTTTGCAAGTTTCCGCGTATATTTTCTCCCCGTTTCCATATACTGTATGTTTGTGTGCATCGATCAGGTCATCACAGATTCTGCTCACACCAGCGTACACAGCCGAGGTCACGGAGTTTGCCGAAACGAGGGTAAATAAGGATTTACAGTACATGGAAAAAGGAAAGGGGGGAAATAATGCATGAAGATCTGAAGCTCTGTGTGTGTGTAGTTTTTTTTTATTTACCACTAAAAGCTTCGTTTTTCTCTCCACAACTTTCCTGAAGCGCAGTTTTCGTAATCACGTCCGCCTCGCGAAAGCGAACTCGCTTTTTATATTTTTTTATTCCAAACATTCATCACACTTATGTGCAATTTCCTGCTGAAAACAACATACAAGAAGGCGTTATACTGTTTGTTATTGCTGTATCCAATTATACTGATTGTCTCAAAGCAGTTCATACTTGTGTGATTGACTTTCGTTGTCTTTTTAGCATGCTTCGTTTCTGTATGAATTACAGGACAGGAGGGATCCTTATCAACAACTTTGAACTTGAAGTGAGCATGCTCCTTTTCTCTCATTCTGAAATTTATATCAGTTTCGGTGTTTCATGCTGACGAAATTTTAGGAGAAGAAAATGAATCTGAATTATCGTCATGCAGAATACCGAAATGAAACAAGAAAAGATTCCAGACACACACAAAAAAAAGCGATTTGACGAACTTTTCAGGATTTTTCCGATAATCGTTTGGAAACTTCAGAACAGAGCACTTATTTTCATGCTCATTTATTTTCAGGACTGTTACCATCGCAGTATTTACCGCAAAATCTCTGCTTCATAAGTTTTTAAAAATATTTCAAAGTGCCCTTTCATTTGTAAGATGGGATTTTAAAATTCGTCTGCTTTCTATCAACAGCTCAATCAATCCGGGGAATCGAAATGTATTCATGATTAATTTTAAAAATCATGAATTCTTCCAAAAATCGCAGCAGATTCTTTCTCTTCGCCATATTGGCAAACAATGTCGAACACGACATGGCAATGCATTCTTTTATTACCAATAACGGATATTAATTACCTGAACAGCCTTTCATTATAATCATCTGGAGGCGCGAACAACTTTCGTTAATTTTTTTAAAGCTCCCATGTTGTAATATTTCCGTTATATCTTAAACCGATCAAGAGAAACAGCAATTCTTGATCAAACATCAAACAACAACAATTATCGTCCTAGTCACAACTGTGTATACAGTATATGCGTGTTCTGCACCCATTACTTTTTCAACAGCCATTGTTTTACAAAAAAGTATATGGTCACCTCGGTTCTCGGGAAACCCCGGGTGGTCATCGACTCAAAATAACTCTCACAAGTATAGAAGTAGGAGTACAAACCATATCTATGCATGTATGACACGAATAATTTATTCAAGACCGATACTTAGGCGAAAAAAAGTGCAAGACACATCAGTAGAATAATGTCAAAGCTTCTACTCTAAAAAAAAAAACCGGCGTTCATGAGTATCGACCGATCATCGATTACCAATAATTACCCAGTGAAAATGCCTCTCCCAATCAAGTTCAACCGTGTATGCGTGTTTGGCTCATTATCTTTTTTTTTCGTTTCTAAGCCAATACTCGGAAAAATATACTGCACTGCACATCATGGACTTGATGGACAAGGAAATAATTGAGTCAACTCTTTCGCTCAGGAAATCCAGGAAATGATCTCCTGAAAATAAATTACACGAGTATACGGCACACCTACTTTTATCTAACGCAGGTGCGTGAAGTTTTCGACCAAAAAGGATAAAGATATTTCACATAAAGATATTATATATAAGGGATGAAGATATCTTTTTAAAGATATTTCACATACGTATAAATATATTTTTAAAAAATTATGCGCGCATGGCACACCTACTTCGTAAAAGAAGGTAGAAAGAATACAATTTGAAAAAAAACGACAAAAATAATTTGAAATAAAAGACAGGTGATTGTAAAATCTCCAGAAAAAATTACTCACACAAGTACGAGTACTCCATGAGTGATCCGGTTCTGTATCGACCGATTTCCACGCCGTGGCGCCTCCGGGCCCCGGCGCCGCCGCTCTGGTGCGCCACTCCACTCGCACCGCCGGGCAACTGGCGCCCCGGGGCGAACGGCCTTCGCACCCGCTCCACCACAACCCCAGAATGTGCACACGTCACGGTCCAGTCGATCTCTTTGCTGTTGCCTCGCGACGATGCCACGAATGGACGCTGTTGATGGTTATTATGATGCTGCTGCTGCTGCTGCTGCGAAAAACAATTTCAAATACGCATAAGGAACGTGTGAGTTCAAGTGAATGAAGCTGAGCGAAAGAGAACGCATCTATTCTCTACAATTTTTTTAAGGCTTTATATTCATGACTCATACGAGTAGCTGAATGAAAATTTTATCGATACTTTAAATTTAAGAAATTTTCTGCTCATAAAATCAAGCGTGAAGGGATTATAAAATTTCTTGAGAATAACAAAAATTCAATTTTGAATCATGACAGGCAGGCTAACAAAATTTTAACTAAATTTTTTTCAGAATTATTACGAGTCCGAAGAATTTTAGTATTTCCCCGGTGGATAAAAATGAGAAAACAATTTTTCTAATGTTTACCTTTTAGGAGCCTCAGCTGGAACGGCCCTAAAAAATCTTTCAAAAATGTATATGCTCTCAGTGTTTGATGAGCATTCTCTTTAGAATACATTTCCCTTTTTATGCGTTAGAAATACTGTACTGTTCTACTGACAAATTTTCCAGAATATAATTTCATCACTTTCTCAAAAATTTGCGAACTCCTTCTTTAAAATATCTTGCAATCCGAAAATAATGTAAGAGACAATCTGGATTCCTCAAGGCGTTTCAAAAATTAAATTTTGAAATTGCACAAGCATTAAAAATAAATACGCTACACGCATGCGGATTTTGGATAAAAAAAATGTTTTTTCTCAAATATTCCTTTCGTTAAAAATCCCCCAGGAAACATTGTAAAATTGCTTTAAAAAATTGAAATAAAAAAAATCAAGGTAAACAAAATTGCCATTTCAGCGTATGCTTTCACCTGCTGCTGCAGCTGTTGTTGCTGCTGTTGGCGTCTCCTTGCCACGCGAGACGCGAAGATCTGATTCGGGTGTTGCTGCTGCTGCTGTTGCCGTTGTTGCTGCAACCCAGTGGACGCCACTGCACCGCCGGCAAACGACGACGAGCCAGTGGGGACGCCGGTGTCGACGTGTCGGTGTTGCGTGACTTCCCGCTGCGTAATGACGACGTTGGGTGTCGGCAGGTGCGTGGGCAAATGCGTCGGCGGCGGCACCGTGTACGCCGTGGCCTGCTGGTGCGGGCCGCCCACCGACGTCTGCTGGCGGCCGTCGCAAGAATAAATCGTCCTTCCCTTGTACCTGATCAATCCGAGCGAAAAAAAAAGAGAGAGAACAAGTTGTGAATCACATTTTCACAGAATAAAAACCCAGCGAATTGGAAATTAGGCAAGGAAAGTAAACTTTCGCTGCGTCATTTCTCCGAGGTGAGAACATTTAATTTAGTTACAGTCGAACCTCTCCATGTCGAATTTCGAGGGATCAGTAAAAAAAATCGACATAGGGAGGTTTCGAGTCGGGGAAAAGCATTTCAGTTGCAGGAAACATTGATGAATTGCAGGGAATTGTAAATGGTAATATTTTTGGCCTCAAATTGCTTCTTAAATGAGTTGACAGGATGCTGAAGTTGGAGGTAGGGGGTCATTTGCCCGATTAGTCTTCCAATTCCTTTCAAAACACATGGCTACTTTTTTTATTGCTTTTCTATTTTCTGTGTCAAGAAAAAATAGCCAAAAGGTATTCTTTCGAGTTACGCAGGTTTTAGAGAAAAATGCTTCAAGTTAGGGAGGTTTATAATGAATCGTTTCTAAGGGAATTCAGATGAGGACTTCAAAAAAAATAATTCGACTTAGAAACGTTCGAGTTATTGAGTTTCAACAATACCGTCGAATAACAATGAGCTTGGGATTTCTAAAACGAAGATTCTTCAACTGAATCAAGTTTTTATTCGACTAAATAAATGGCAACTAAATCACGCAAAAAATATTCTAATCATCATCACACACCATTTGAGAGTGATGAGAAATTTCTCGACATATATTAGGCGAACCAGTCAAAATTTTGGATAACATGATTTTCAGTCTGCGCATTTTCAATCAGTCTACTATAATCATCGTTAAGAAAGCCAGATGGCAAACACATTTTTTTCTGCATGATTTACTCTTCTTCAATTTTTTTTGAAAAATGCTAAAAAAAAAAAGGTAGCTTCAAACTTCTTCAAACAAGATGACGCAACGCCGTAGCTGTCATTCTTTGAAAACGGTGCCATCACGAAAAAAGTTGAAACAATGACGCATTGTATTCACGATCAACGTCTCTGAAATATCCGCTATTTCACAGTCAATTAAAGACTGACGTCGCAGAGTCTACAGAATTTCGCAATCAAGTTTTTTTTTTTTTTTCAAAGGGCAAGCTAAGCACTCATATTCGCAAGCAGCATTCAGAGAAGAAACACGCGAACAGTCAATATTCCGGAGGCAATTTGTGCCTCATCATCGATGCGCCGCAATCAGCAAGCATCAATCACTCAGAGTAACGCAACTAAACATTCTCTTCCACATTTATCACTCGTATGTGTCATCCTAACGAACACCCAGGAAGAAGGAACAGCAGCAGTGATTTCAGAATGGAAATTATCAATAAAAAATGCCGCTGCCCCGAAGCATTGGCGAACCTCAAGAAAAAGCGAGGGTATACATACGTGACCTCGTCAGGTCATTCCTGCGTACGTATTTTCCCAGCACCGGATGCACATCCAGCGATGTGCTCGCATGAGAGAATAACCCTATACTGTAAAGTATATGGAGCCCATTTCATGGGTATACAGTATAATATATGCTGTACTGCATTCCCCTTCCACACATTATAGGCACGACTAGCACCCCAAAAAGTGGTTTCCCGACATGAGGAGCGAATAAGTACGGTAATATCGCATTCACTCGAATCAAAAATGCACCTTTTCACAGAAAAATTGGCTAATAATAGACAACAACGACAAAAAAACAAGGTGCGTCTTACATTGTGACGGTGTCCTTTATTTGGGGTGTCAAATTCACATTAAAAATGCAAGAATAACGGAGCCAGTTCCACCACTGTAAGTTTCAAAGGAGCGGAATTTTAATCCTCCGTAATTTTTTGGAATCGTTTCAAAATAATATGCTGGTATCAGAAACTTGCGTAGAATCAACGGAATCTCACATTTCAAGTTAATTTTATTGCAAAGACTGATTTTAAAATGAAAACAAATTGTCTGTTTAATCGTCAGACTCGAAAATGCGTGCCTTATACAAAAGTTAACGCCGGTAAATACTTTCCGTTGATGTTCAAAATACAGTTTTGTCCGGTAATTTCTGGCTTTTTTTCAGGGCTTGATGCCACGAAATGTAATCATCTCATCAATTTATACATATTTAGTGCCACGAGATAAATCTTCTTTCGAAGTTTCTTAAACGTTTTCTCGTTTTTCCAATTCATAAATCCGATGAACCACAATAAGGGCAGGAAAAACTTCAGAAATAAGTATTTTTCCCAAGGGGTCATGGAAATACGATGACTGAATTCTGCCGTCATCAGATTCTTTCATTTTCTTGACACAGGCCAGTCAAACCAGCCGTAGATAAATTTTTAAAATAAAAATGCATACAATACGACTCAAACAATCTAAATCATGGTTATCTATCCACAAAACACGTAAAACTGTGTTCAAGCTAAGGAAACCTTCGAAGGAATCATTTAACCCAAAGAAAGGACCTATAAAATATCCTCCTAATACGATCTGGTTCATGGTTCAGTCGTCGGACCCATTTATAGCTTGAAAACATAAAATTATCATTCTCCGAAATAAAAACAAATGAACGATCTTCAATTTTTCAGTTTTTTTGCTTCGACTCCCGAATTGCAGAGCCGTTTGTCAAATATTCCAGCTTGAACATCAACACATCGTTATCTGGTACGTTTATTGCCTTCAAACACACATTCAAACGAACATTTGATGAAAATACTGCACTGTATTTGAAAAATGAATTAATGAACCTTTCAAAATGAGAGATAATTCAAAAAGAATTGAAGCCTCAAAATAAGAAAAAATATACTTCGAGAATGTGCGAGGATGCTTATTTCGTTCAGGGTTACATTCACGAACCCAGTGCTGAAAGCGCCTTTTCTCATCTGCACTCGCGGTACTGGGTGCGAAGGGTTATGGGTCAGGTTGAGCTGAAAACGACCTTCTGTCGTAAATGGTACGTGTGATGAAGCAACCGACACAAACACTCGCCGACCTTGGATTATTTCCTTGCCTCGTCGCTTCTGCCTGAATAAAATCCGTCAAACGCGCTTCCTTCCGTTTTATTTTGCCATCAGTGATTTCGGAAGAATAACCGTCCGCATACGAATACTGTATAGAAAACCCCGGCCTTTCATAATTGTTGCGAAAAACATTTATATAAATCACCGATTCTATTGCAAAATCATTTTTGAAAACGCTGATCTTTTATGAACGCAGTCAGATTTCCGAGCAATCGACGGCGATCGATGTAATCTGCGGGAAAATGTAAGAATCGAATTCAAGAAGATCACGGATTTCCCCGCTGTAACCAATCCTCTTTCAAGATTGATGAACAGAATTTCGTTTCTTTAATTTTGAAAATACGAAAGCATGAAACAGGCTTCCTGGTGTAACTTTGTCCGTCCGTCAAGTTAATTTCTTCTATGAAATCAAAGCACAAAAAAAATTATATCGTTCATCGTTCCTCTCCTTATTCATAAATAAATTTTCTCCATCTTTCAAGATGAGATGGCTACCTTTTTAAAGCGGGATATTGGCACGGAATTCAAGGTTATAAATCGGTACGCAATATTTCCAACTTTACGGTTGCAAGATTGAGAAATTGGTTCTCACTTCAGACGGAGCATCACATTGAAAGTTTTTCAAACATGAAGACCATACATTTTTGATGAACGTATCGAAAAAGCAAACATGATCTCGAGAAAAGTGTCCTCTAATATATTCAATACTAAATATAAGCCCCACACAATCATTTATTGTACTTTAAACTAAGTAAATAAAATTAAAGGGCGAGCAATTTTTTTTAAACATATAATGTACAAAGAAAATTCAAACTGAACCTCTTTAGTGGGAGCTGAATCTAGACATTCCAAAACTGGGAAATGCAAAAATCGAAAAATAGAGAATCAGTGTGGTATCTTAAGGGCAAATTGTCCGAACAAAGCAATTCCCGGTTTTTTGAGACTGGGGATACAATTTAGGAACAATAAAAAGAGAAAAAATCAAGAAGAGTTCCGAGTGTTTTCGAGGAGAGTTGAGATTACAGTTCTCAGGTCAAGTTGAAGAAAGGTCAATGAAAAACAATTTAACTAAATTAAATGGGACAAGTTCAGAGACTGAAACAAAATTAAGAATCTGTTATACAGAATTTAGGAGCAAAAAAATGCCTTTTAAACTCGGATTTCAGTTGTTTGTGCCTCAACGTTGTAAAATTTACTTCACATCAAAGTGTTCAGGAAAGGATCCAAGAAAGTGTAGACGTACATTCATCAGGTCCCGTTGAAAAAATAAAAAGGTTTATGAGGAACATTTTCACGTCAAATCGACACAAAAAAATATCTCAGACCTAAAAAAAAAAATCCAGAATCACCGAGCCCCATGACAAGACAAATTCAGAAGATCCCGGAAAAAAATCCAAAGCCCATCAAACCCATCCATCGTCCATTTCCTCTCAGCACAGCAAAATCCAACCCACAAAAAAACCCCCCTCGCGTCCAAAGCAGATGTTTCTCTCCCCCATGGCCTCTGTCGGGAACGGCCGTCTTTCCGGGGGAACAACTTGCACCCCCCCCCCCCCTCCGAAAACCCTCTTAATGACAGACAGACATTGAGGTAGATAGAGAGAGGGACAGACGGTGAGCAAGACAGAGAGAGAGAGAGAGACAGAGAAAAGCAAAGAAAAATTCCGACACACGCAGGAAGTAGGGCATGAGAACTCCTCCTCCTTTCTATAGCAGGCCTTGTCAGCTGACTGCACAAGCTGGTTGGTTCCCTTGGGACCAAAACCCCCACTACCCCGTCCCCCCCTTCTTCCTTCCGGCTTTATTTTTCCGTCGCGACGGCCGGTAAAGTCCGTCTATCTACGCGACGTAACTAAGGACACCCATCCCTCAACTGCGGTGGACGAGATGAACGGCTTTCCCTCTTTTCCATTACAGTACATTCTCTTTTCCCAGCTCATGGGATTGATTCTGTTCGCTTCGTGTCGTGTCGTCGAGGAAGAGGAATTCAGTTGTAAATTCCAAATTTCAAATACGAGATGAACGGCTAAATAAACTGAGTGAAACAAAAATATACATTTGAATATTTGCAGTTGGGAACGTCTCCGTAAACTTACAGCTGAATTTGGATCAAACCCGATATTCACAGTCGGCATGAATGATATTCAACGAAAAAAAAATGGGACATACGAGGGATGTCCCACTCGGGCGCGACTTTGGTTATTTCTCGAGTATAGGGATGACTAAAAAAAATTTATGATGCAGTCCATGAAGTTTCAATAAGGTTCTAAGATTTTTTTCGGATTTTAAGAACATTTTTAAATTCACTCCATGATAATGAGTGCACAATTTCCGCCGACAGCCAGAGTTTTAGCACCCATGTTGCAAGGTGCAACAAATTTGTCAGGCCAGCTAAAAAATAAAAAAAATTGTTGTTTCAGTCATTATCCTTTTTACATTTTCAGAAATTTCAATTCTCCCGCATCCTTCACGACAATGAATTCCAAGTCATATAGCTCTGAACCGCGAAAAAAGCCTTTCTTGAGATTATTCATCACTTGCAGAACATAAGGCAACGACATGTGGGGTCAAATTCACCAGTCCCGATTATTCTCAAGCGACAGAGATTTCCAATTTCCGGATCAGGGAAACGATCAAAACGATGCGGATCCGACCGCTATTTCCGTCTGTTCCACGGAAATGTCCTCTAGTTGTTGTTTTGCCCTTTCCTGTCGGTATCTGTCCCGTTTCCTTCCCCATACCAAGGATCCACACAAATCCACACCCGGATCCCCAATGACACCCCGGTGACCCTGCTTGAGTTCCCAAGCCCATTACGAACGTCAAGGAATCGTCGTAGTAAACCCTTGTGTACGTATAATGTACATATTACATCACCATGCTATGCTTGGAACGATGTTGTAAGTTATTCACCCCCCCCCCCTCCCACACACACTGGAAAGTTTCTGGGCACCACAGAGCATG